CTTTTTTTTTTTTTTCCTTTCTTTTTTTTTGTACTGGAGATGGAAGTCAGGACCTTGTGCTTTCGAGGCAGGTAGTGGAACCACTGAGCTAAATCCCCGGCCCTACTTTCTTTTTTCTTTTTCTCCCTTCCTGTCTTTCTTTTTTGTACTGGGAATCAAACTCAGAGAACTTGTTCTTGTCAGACAGGCATGGCACCGCTGGGCTACATCCCCAGCTCAAAATGCATACATTTTCCTACAAAAGGCTCAAGTTTACCTTTCTTTGTAGCAAAAAAACAAAAACAAAACCAAAAAAAACACTGTTTTATGGGTTGGCTTATTTTTAGGTCTCTGATACTCCTGGCATCAATGTTGGGCTCTGGTGTGAGGCACGGGCTGAGATGACTTTGGGTACTGCTACTGTAAGTTAAAATCCTATTTTTCCAGCACTATTTGTTGCAAAGTTCCTCCTTTCTTCATGGAATTGCCTTGTAAAATAATAATAATGATTGGACTGCAGGTTCTATGTAATCCTAGCGCTTGAGTCTGAGGCCAGCCTAGGGGGGCTGCACAGTAAGTGCAAGGCCAGCCTGAACTACATAGCGAGACTCTGTTCAAAACCCAAACAAGTTTTATTGATGAACTCTGTATTCTGTTGCACTCATAGCCGGCTCTATCCTTTGGTCAGAGCCACATTGTCTAGACTAAGGGTTGACAAAGGCTGAATAGGTCAGATTTTGTATTTTACCAGTCCCATGATTCAACTCTACCATGAAATCAGCCATGTGTCAGTGAATGCACAGGCTGAGTTACAGTAAAACTTTATTTAGAAGACAAGCTGCTGGCTCTACTTGCATATGCCTCTTACCCATTCCTAACCTGCCAAAATTTTCACATTCTTTTTTGTGATACCAAGAATCGAACTCGGGACCTTGCACTTGCGAAGCAGGCAGCAGAACCACTGGGATAAATCCCCGGCCCAGTTTTCACATTCTTGATCTAGATTATATAGTAAGTCTTGGAATCAGAGAGATCTCAATTAGTCCCAACTTTGTTCTTCTTTTCCTATTCTTTTGCCTTTCCACATAAGTTTCAAAGCTTCTTTATAGTTACTCAAAGTGCTGCGGTGTTTCTTTTCCCTTTTCATAGTGCTGGGGATGAACCCAGGGCCTTTGCACATGCTAGGCAAGTGGTTATCACTAAAATACCCGCAGACTTTAGATCAGAAAAGAGAGCCGGGGATTAGAGCCGGGGATTTGGCTCAGTGGTTTGGCTGCCTGCCTTGAAAGTGCAAGGGCTTGAGTTCAATCCTCAGCACCGCCAAAAAAAAAAAAATGTTTAAAAGTTTAGGGCCGGGGATCCGCCACCTGCCTCGAAAGCACAAAGACCAGAGTTCATCCCCGGTACCCCCCCCCGAAAAAAAAGAAAGAAAGAAAAGAGAGACAGGAAGAGGCTGGAATCCCATAATCCCCTTCAAGGCCACACCCCCCAATGACCTTGCTGCCTACCACTAGGCTCCACCTCTTAAAGGTTCCACAACTTCCTAATGGGACCAGGCTCGGGACAAAATCTTCAACACACAGTTCTTGGGGAGACACCAGGTACGGTACGAACTAGAATACTTGCTACTACAAATGTCCCCCAGGGTCTTCCTGCTGGTGTAGTTTGGATAAGGAGTCTCCTGTGGCTCCTATCTCTCCTCACCCCCATATGCCACGGGCCTATTGTGTTGTTGTTGTTGTTGTTGTTTTTCTTCTGAGACAGGGGCTCACTCTATAGCCCAGGCTGACCTTGAACTCATGGTGATCTTCTTGCCTCAGCCTCCCACATGGTGGGATTACAAGTGTGCACCACCGTGCCTGTCTCTGCCATCTCTTTGGGCTGGTGAGGACGTGCCTAGCGGGTACAGAGACCCTGGGGTCCATTCCCTGCCCTATGAAAATAATAATAGTAATAAGTGTTTTGTCCTTAATTTTCTGCCTTTTAGTGGTTTTTGTTATTTTGTTGCACGTGCTAGGCAAGTGCTCACTACTGAACTACACTCCTGGCCCCTTTGCATTGTGAGACAGGATCTCACTACGCTGCCCAGGCTGGCCTCGAATTTGCAATCCTCCTGCCTCAGCCTCCTGAGCCCCTGGGATGACAGGGCTGTACCATGCGCCTAGCTAACGCCCCTTCTTGCTCATCCTTTTTACAGAGATGGTGTGGGCTTCGCGCTTAGTGTCTGGGTAGAGAGACAGAAGGTAGAGCAGGGTTTCGTTTACCGTACGACAGCTCTTGACTTCTGGTGGCCTGCAGGGAGGATGTATCATATCTGTCCCCTTAAATGCATTTCGATCCTGTCACATGGAAGGTTTAATCCAAAGAGAAGTGTTCTGCCATCCTCGGACGCAGACTGAATGAGGGTGGCCTGGTAGGGACCAGAGGTGGAGGGAGGCTGCCCTGAGATAACCTCATTTTTTGCAGCTGGGTAAACTGAGGCACAGCGTGGACAAAGACTTGTCAACCTGGACTCCAGACTGTACTGGGGGACAGGAAGTGGGGTCAGTGTGGCTGGGGACCCTCACAGAGACCCAGGCCTCGCTGCAGCTGCAGGTTTTATTGCCTTGGGTCCCTGTTTCCTGGACATGGGAACATATGTCTGTCTGTCTCTCTCTCTCTCTCCTGCACTGAGGCTTGAGCCCAGGGCTTTTATGCTGAACCATATCCTTACGCCGTTTTTACTTTTTATTTTGAGACAAGTTCTCCTTAAGTCACGAAGTTGCCCGGACTGGGCTTGAACTTTCAATCTTCCTGCCTCAGCCTCCCGGAGTGCTGGGATGACAGGTGTGTGCTGCCCCCACCCACCGCAGCCGCCCCGGCTTTTCCCTGTGTCTTTTCCCTCCCTCCCTGGTCCCTCATCTCTGTGTCTCCAGCCCTGCCTCTTCTTCCTTTGCCCTCTCTCTCTCTCTCTCTCTACCTTCCTCTTGCCTGTCTCTGAGCCTGTTTGTTCCTGAGAAGTCTTGCGTCTTTCTCTCCCCTCTCTCCTGCCTCTTTTGAAAGCCGCTTCCCACATCTAACTTCCGCCTGTCCCGGGCCCTGACCCGTCTTCTGGCTGCCTGGCCCCGACCACACATCTGGGGGTAATTGTCCCCCGCGACCACAAGGGACCCAGGCAAATTACAGCAGCTAGCGGGTGGGGGCCGTGGAGGCGGCAGAGTCCCCGGGGCTGGGCCTGGCTGGGCCCCTGCTCCCCGCGCCCCAGACCCAGATCCAGAGAGCGGCTTGGTGTTCAGAGCGGGGTCGCCGTTCCGCCCGCTCATCCCACCCCTCTCTGGCAGGTGTGACTGACGCGCAGCCTTCCAGGCTCAGCCCACAGAAATGAACCAAAATCCACCGCCTGCGGGGCGGACAGTGCCCCGGGACTGAGGAGCAAAGTGACCCTGGCCTTGTGGGCTGCGGCCCCGGCCCCGGGCGCAGGCCACGTTCGGGAAGGGGGGTCTGTGAGCGCAAGGGACTCTGTTCAGTCCCGGGACCGGCTGTGTGTCCCCGGGAAGGTCACTTCTCCTCGCTCCGGGCCTGGGTTTCCTCCTCTGTCAAATGGGGACAGTGCCTAGACGCTGGCTGCCTGGATCTGTGACAGAGAAGAGGCAGGTGCGTGGTGGGGTGTGATTGTCCCGGCTGGGGTGCGGCTCGGGGGTGAGTGCAGTTCAGGGGAGTGGGTCCAGGCCTCAGCCCGAAAAAAGGAAGGAAGGAAGGAAGGAAGAAAAGTTCAAACCAACGACTCACAAGCAAGTTCTATCGGTGCGCTCTGTTTGCTGTGTGTCCTTGCTTCCTGGCTAGACCTCT